TCAGTGAACAACGACTCTGTGTAGTTAATGCTGCTCAATGTGAAAGCCCGCCTTTGATGGAGATTTACCGCTGATTACAGAACCGGCTTTACTGATAAGATGCATGTTAAATATCGCATGCGATTTATCGTGCAGCCCTAAATCAGAGTTATATTTAAAAATGTCCTGTCTCTTCCAAGCTTTATAATGGCAGTAAATGAGGGTCAAGATTTTGAAGCAAAATAAAGTGCTGTGCCTACATCCTACGTCATCCACGAGAACGCCACTCTCTCATGAACACATGTACGACAGTTAGAGGAAGCTAGAGACTATGGTTTATAACGTTTTAAAGGGGTCATGAACTTTTGACATATGAGAGGTCACTGTACTATTAAAACATCCTGTAAGTTTCAGAACTCAAAACTTTCGCGTTAGTCTAAAAACAGCTTATATTGAAGCCAATCTGCCAAAACGACAGATTGTGGAATGTGCCACTTTATGATGTAAAAGTGTGGCTAAACCCCGCATCCACAGAAGATGATCAACACCTGCTTCTACATCACTGCCTGTTTAGCTCCGCCCACCGATTCATGCATGTAGTGTAAATAACGAGAGCGACAAACACAGGGCTACACAGAAATCGAACGATAAAGATGATCAAAATACAACAAGACGCTGTGCATTGCAAAGTTGTGGAAATACAGTCTTTGCATCGCCTTCCTTCTGATTCCAACATTAGGAATGAGTGGACAAACATTATTTTTAATGAAGATCCAGACCGCGTCAGTAAGAACTTGGTACTTTGTCCAAATTAATTTTACCGCGGATTAATTTACAAACAAGGCACAATGCGACGCAGGATTTTCAGAGAGATTGAAAGACGATGCTGTGCTGAATATATTGGATCCGACAGTATGTCGCACCACACAAGTGTGAGTAACTGTTTTTTATTACATGATCACTATTGCTTTGTCTTATTACAGATTGTTTGAGTATTTATGCGTTTTTAATCTAAATTACAGCAGTGTTCCTCTATGAAGGATATAGGCTGTCAAACATACACAACTGTTAGCCATTCATAGCAGTGGGCGTTTACTTCTGAGTCTACAATCCGCCATGCCTATTCAAACAGAGCGTTCCGATGAGGGGTTAAAACAGGACGAAAAATAGCCTATTCTAAATTATGATGCTTTTTGATGTAAAAAATCTTGATAACATTATAAGTGGCCCTCAGAGAACAGTACAAAATAATTTATTAAAAAAGGCAGTTAATGACCCTTTAAATATGGATATTTTGCTTACACAAATGCACCAATTCACTTAACAAGGCATTTTTTAACCCCCCAGAGCTGTGTGGAGTACTTTTTATGATGGATGGATGCACTTTATTTTGCTTCAAAATCTTGACCACCATTCACTGCCATTATAAAGTTGGGAAGAGCCAGGACATTTTATAATATAACTCAGATTGTATTCGTCGGAAAGAAGAAAGTCATATACACCTAAGATGGCTTGAGGGTGAGTAAATCATGGGGTAATTTGCAATTTTGGGTAAACTATCCCTTTAAGGTATCAAAAAGAACATATTTCAGTCTTCTGAATCCCCAACTTTGTGTGAAAAAAAACCTTTCAGTTCTTATAGTCCTGCATGATGACTACAGTCATAATCATAATTGTTGATTATTCCCCTCGATATTGTAATCATAATTATTCATTTTACATTAAAATATGTATTTTATGATGAAAGCAGAAATGTCCAATTTGTAAATGAATCACATCTCTTCAATGAATCGGTTGATTGAGTTCACCAAAAAAGTCTGAATGATTGGTTTGCAAATAAAGTCAATACACTTCAACTCACTTGGCTCAATGATCTAGTTATAGTGGTTATCAGCTCTCTGCAGGGAAAGATTATCAGAAGATGAACGTAAATTTCAGTCTTTAGAAGAATTGGAATATACTATTTTAATGATACTTGATATTTTTATGATGCTTGTGCTTCATTTTTAAAGTTTAAAAATAAATGGAATAAAAACTTAATGGAGAAGAGCAACCAGCAAAGTCAAATGGGGTTGGAATAACAAATCCAGAGTTTTCATTTCTGGGTGCCCTACTGTATTTGTATAATTGCTCAAGTTTTACACATAGGGTTATAGGTTCTGAGGTTTTTTTTACAAGTTTGTATTGATGATAATATCTTTTTTTTTTGTGCAAACACTATGCTATAAATAGTCAATGATTTAACAAACTGTCTCTCTCTTGTAAGGTTAAGTTTGGCCATCAGACACACTGACAGAATATTCTACAGGGGCCACAAGTGATGGATGAGAGGGGAGTGCTTGCATAATTCACAGAGAATTCACAGAGAATTAACCAGGGAAGATGAGAAGTTGCATGAAGTAGCTTCTATTCTCCAGTCGACAGGAGCTCATCTCAGGTCAGTGGGTCAAGTAATGCAATCAATGCTTTCAATCCATCAAAACCGAAGAAAACTGCCAAACCATGTAGCTTTGATGTCAACACATGTAGCACAATACCCCAAAAGTATATGCACAAAAAATGTCTTGTATTACCAATTCAGTGACAGCAGTCAGGATATTAATTTAAGAGTCTTAAAGGGGTCATAGGATGCCCAAGTTGATATGATTATTTAGGGTCTTAATGAAAAGACTGTAACATAGTTTGGTTAAAATTTTTCAATGGTAGTGTAAAAAACACCTTTTTTACCCTGTCAAAAACAGCTCTTATCAGACCAAGCCATTTTTGTAGCATTTTCCTTTAAATGTTAATGAGCTCTGCTGACCCCGCCCCTCTCTTCCGAGCTGCTCTCAGAGAGACTGTTTACTTTAGCCGCATTCATCGTGAAACTTGCTAATTAGCACATTATTAGGATTTGCTAAGACTCATTACAAAACATTATACTCACTTCTTCTGTAGATGAGGCTGGATCATGAATGATTCGCGCGAACATAGACGCATTTATATAGATCGGGGGCGCATTCCCTTCAAAAACAAACGTAATCCACTGCGTCTTCAGCGGCTCAGATGTCAGGAGTAAATGACGACTCCTATGTTCATTATTACATCCAACAACAGAACACCTCAATCGCTTAGGAGTCATTCTTGTCCAACAATGGCGGACTGATGACAGCTCACTCAGGGCAGGTCTAAGGTAAGACACTAGTCCAGTCTGTGCTGAAACGCTACTGTCAATCAAACTATCGTGGGAGGGGCCTGTCTGTGTGACGTCACACAGACAGGCATCTGAGATCGGCTCGATTTGAGAAAGGGGAAAACATTTAACCAGATTTTTTTTTAAAACACTGGGTGGATTTTTATCATTATAGGGTGGTTGTGTACACACTGCCAACACACATTTCAGTTCAAACAACTTGTAAAAGTGCATGTAGCATCCTATGACCCCTTTAAAACAAGCTTGTGCAAGCATTATGATTCCTTTTGCCCCAAAACACAAAATTGATTTCCCACAACATGCTGGTCTCAGCTATAAACTAAATAAAAAGGCCATTAAATTACATACAGTAAGACCAGAAATGTGAATCATGAAAGCAAAGGGTCCATTATGATTTCACGTTGGCTTAAAAAAATAAACACTCTTAAAGACTGGATTTGAGCATAGCCTGGAGACGGGAAGAGGCTTGGAATGTGGATTTTTCACAGCTGGAATGACATCACATCTGTCTATGTGTTCTCTGGCTTTAATCTCTGATTTATTCCCTTCTCTCGCAATCCCTTCCTCCCTTTCTCTCTCCGTCTCTGTCTCCAACCAACCCCCCATTCACTGATGCATCGCACCAGTCCTGTTGAAGACTTCTGGTCCGTGCATGAGAGGAGGGTCTGGCTCAGTGAAACTCCTCAGCTGTCTATTGTCAGAGAAGAGGAACGCCTTTATACTTTCAATATAACCTACAAGGCTGCATTGCCTTGGAAGACAAGTGAAAGAACTGTAACAGTTCACAATGGAAAACCTGCTTATAACTGTGCAAAAGCCTGATTTCTACAGTAGGTTTCCACTGTAAGCATTTCAGTCATGATGATTCAAGAGAAATAACAAATTATTTGTCAATGTGTAGTTCTCCAAAAGATACTGATGACCTTACTGTATGAACTGTAACTCATAAAACTAGATCACAGTGTTATAGTTTTTCTAAAATGTGGTAATATTAATTTGAAATTCCCTTAAGATTGGTTCCAAGTTATGATTGAAGTTGAATAGTTGGTTGATTTTCACCTTGTTTTGTTAGAAATGCATCTTAATGTATTAGACCACCACATTCAAATATTGCACAAATCTAAACTCCCAGGTCTTATACTGATGGAGCTTGGCGGACTAAACCAACAGCAGAAAATCTTCTTAAAGTGTTAGACTGCTCAGCTATTTTTAGCTCTACTATCACACATCACTACAGACTACTATTTCACATCGCTATATTTGTAAGATGCCAGCATGACTGACACACTTATGAGAAATAAGCATGTGTACTTAGCCGAAAAAAAAGAACATGCATGGGACTGCTATAGGGATTTCCATCATAATTTGGCACCGATCCTAATGGGATAAAATAAAATCCTACTTCATAAACTGTATGATGTAAATGTATTTTTTGATCCTAAGAGCCCTTTGTTTTCCAGAAGATTTAGTATTTCTGTATGAATATGTTGTATTAGAATTGTCCCATTAGAATTGGTTCCACATTAAAATACAAAATTCCAACAGAACTCCAGTACACATTCCTTTAGGATTTTTTATCAATCCTACAGGATGCATACAGGAGTGCTCATTTGGAATGGATCTAATACAAGCATCTGCTGATAAACTGCATTTCCAACTCATTCAGTTTCCCCAGAAATAAATATTTATACAAACAGAATAAAATAAAATCAGTTTATCCAGGCTGCCGTATTAAACCCCAGCCCTTTAGAACCGTTTCCAAATAATTCCTTCAGGATTTCTGACTCTAAGTGCACCTGAGAGAGGGCGATCATGTGATGAGATATACCTTCAGTTGCATAGTTGTGGTCTCGGAGGAAGCTGTTGTTGATCTTGCGGGTGTCTACTTCCTCATCCATTGAGAAAGGCGCTGATTACACTGAGAAACGCAGAGAGAGAAACGCGCTATCTATCCATGCTCCGCGCTCAGCCCAGAGCCCGGCGCGCAGGACACGGACGCACCATCATATTCTCCGTCAATAAATGAACAAAAGTGGGATGAGTGTCGGTTCGCAAGGTGTCACAAGGCGGGCCTGTCTGCAGCAAAACCGAGATTTAATGTAAAGTTGCACGAGCGTCATCCAAAATGACAACAATCCGCGTCTAAATCCATGCTTTGAAATCAGCTGTCATGCACAGTGGCACAAGTTTCAGATGTGACCGGCGGTGCTGCCTGCATGGAGAGCTCGTTTTCCTCTCTGTCGCTCAGTATGAGCGCGCTGGAGTGCTGCCGTGGACACTCAGCATCGCTTGAACTGAAGTGTGAGACTGGCGCTGCAACAGTGACTCCTCCCCCTCTGTCCCCCTGCTTCAGCATCACTCCAGCCTGTGCGCACACGATGATATATGTGTGATGGTGTTTCAGCACTTGTTGAATGATGCCCATCTGCATCACTTGTAGAATAATTATGATGATGATGATGATGAAGCTCATGCTTATAAAAAAGCAGTGTGGCGGTACAGCGACTAGACTAAAAATGGTACTTGGGTACGTGGTCGTTTTTCAAACCCCTTTTTGTGATTTTTTCTTTCTTGCGATTTCTGTCCTGCAAACAAAACTCCAATTTAATTTGATAGACAATCTCTTATTTATGTGAACACAATACAACTACACAATCAAGACATTTTGAACTGTGGGCTTATAATAAAGAGCTTATCAGGGATATTTTGTATGTGATATCAGAGCTAGTCCTCAAGTATATTTGTATAGCGTTTTTAACACACGTTGTTTCAACGCAGCTTTACAGAAAACCATTAGCCTATGTTAATGTTTATTATATCTTAATATATTCATGTCTTTTAGTGGCATTCAGCAGATTAAAGCTGCATGGACAATAATACAGTTTACTTTTTTTTTTGCAGCAATATATGCAAACGGTTGAATTTGCTATATAGTATATATTGCTTTATAGATATTGTATATATCTTATATATCATATATTTTTTTATGTATGTAGGTAAATTTGAATACTTATATTCATGTATCCAACATAATATACAGTATCCAGCTGTGCAATACTATAGTTTATATTTTGTGATGATAAAAATAATAAAATAGTTGACATTTGCTATATATAGTATATATATATATATATATATATTGTTTTTTACGTTTGCACTCTAAAAAATGCTGGGTTGTTTCAACCCAATGTTGGGTCAAATATGGACCTACCCAACTGTTGGGTTAAATTTTGGTTACATTTTTAAATTAGCTTTTTATTAAGTCCATATTTGACCCAACATTGGGTTGAAACAACCCAGCATTTTTTAGAGTGTGTAGTTCAATTTAAATGTACTACAATATAAACAAGATTTGCTGTATAGTATATATCTCTGTATACTGTATGAACGCGGGTAAAGTTGGATATACTTATATATCCAAATTAACATATAGAGCTGTGCTGTAATGTATTTTACATTTTATAAGTGATAACATGATATAAAGGATCACGCGGACAAGACTTGCTATAAAGTAGCCTGTATTGAATGTAGGTCAAATTGGATGGATTTACTGTATCCAACTTAAAAAATGTATCTGGGCAATAAAGTTCACATTTTGTAACAACTTAAACAATCAAGCAGTTGAGATTTGAAATATAGTATCTGTCACTTTTATGTGAGTGTACTGGATGAAGATGGATGTACTATATTTTCAACTTTAAATATAATATGGTTTACATTTTGCAACAATATAAACAATCAAGCAGTTGAAATTTGCCGTATAGTTTATATCGCTTCATATGAGTGTACTGTACGCATACTGATAAAGCCTTATGTACTTACAGTAGTTGAAGATAGAATCTTTTTATGTGGTGATACTGAGGATTAGTCACATTTAGATTTGGGGGAAGTTGTCACATGTTTTAAAAGTTCTACATTTATATTTTTTGACCAAAATGATGGTTTGAAATGTCTGCACACTTCTGCTTCTGTATGTTACAACTGTGTTTCATGAATTGTGTTTAACAATTGTTTTATTTTTAAAACTTAGATGGTATTGGGGCATGTTGGCACAAAAGTTCAGTGTGTTTAAAACATCATTTTTAATTTCTGGATGAACTATTATGCCATCCTGCACTGTGACATTATTTTTTTCTAATATTTTTTTTTAATTACCTATTGCAATATTCAGTCCTTGGTAATTATATCATTGAAACCTGGAAAAGTATTTACAATTATTTCAATGTATACCATGGTTCTACTATACGTGTCGAAAAACATGGTATTACATGGTACATTTTTATTAATGTAGAGTCTTTCAAAGGCAAGAGAGTATTATTCATTATATATTTGTGTCTCTTTTCATGTGCATGCAGTTTTCCTGCCAATGCACCTCTAAAAACAGCCTGTGATTTCTTTATATTACATTTGCCTCGTTTTTTTTGACAGTGCTAAAACATTTACAGCCTGTACAGGTTATTTGACACATCACTGCCCTTGAACTGCACACAAAATGAGTCAAATGCATTATCTCTATTCCTCCATAATACAGAGCAGTGAAGCATGCACCTCAGGTCTTCTCTTACTGTTAACCACTTCAAAAGCACCATATCCCAATCCTATTGTGTTTCACTATGAGGCGAATGAAATCCTCTCTTCCTTAAATCCCTTTAATTAGAAGATAAAGGGGCACGCCGAACCCCTGAAGTAATCTTGATACTAGTTCTGGTGGAATTACAGAAGATTATTTCTTCTCAGTCAATAGACGTTTAAACTCAGTCATAGTCATATGCTTAGCATAGAAAGCTGATGATAAGAAATGTATTTTAAGGAATATTCCAGGTTAAATAGAACTTAAGCTCTAATTACAGCTTCCGTTGTTGATTACAATAGAAAATAATTTTGACTTTGAATTTTGACAAATAAATGTTGTGCATTTACAGTAACCATGACCAGTGTCCAAAATTAATTTTAGCCCACCAATGATGGGTGAATTGAGAAATTTTTACATGCATTTAGAGAGTGCTCATTCTGAATTTCTAGGGGTGTGGAAAACAAATTGATATTTCAAAATGCTGATAAACTTACAGCAAGAATTTTTATAATGAATATTTTTGTGGAAAATGAGATTCAGAGTAAGTCGGTGAGAACAAAAATTCTAACTCAAAATGAGCAAAGAATATGTCTGAAGTCCAATGCACAAAACTTGAAAAAGTGAGTAAAAGATTGCAATATATATTCATTTTTAATAAATATCAACTAACAGCTTCTTGTGCTTTGAATGAGGGTATTATAATGTATCTTCCAGTATCATCCATGTGAAATTATCGCAATTGAGTGCGATATGTAGGGTGGGCAGGGACTTGGTTCTATCTATCAGTTGTTGATTGAAAAGAGGCAGTTCTGAATGTGAGGCTACGTTTACGCGACAACGGTGTAGTCAAAAACGGAAAAGTTTTTCCCTTGCGTTTTTAAAAAGTTTCACGTATACACGACAACATTTTCAAAACGATTCGCGTTTACACATATCCGTGAAAAACGGTTAAAAATGCTGTATTATATATGCCAGGCCAGTAGTTGGCGCTGTCACATTGTTAGTAAACAGTACCTATAGGGAAGTGAGGATTATATGATGTATATGATGCGTGATATTGGTGAAGTAAATCCACACTTTGCTGAAGAAGCGTTAGCAAACTCTTGAGCAACAACAGTACCATATAGTCCGCCATTGTTGTGTATGTTTGTTCGCGCTTGCTTTTAAAATCGACACTGTTTTCAAAGATTCCCGTATTGGGTGTTTACACGGAAACGATAACGGTGCCGTTTTCAAAAACTTGTGCGTTTTCAGTCCCCAAAACGCCATTGTCGTGTAAACGAACAGTCAAAACTCATAAAAAGTTTCCCGTTTTTGGATGAAAACGTTGTCGTGTAAATGGCCCCTGACCTTGTAGTTGATTGTAAGAAATGGGCCGGGTTTAAACAGACCAAAAATTGGTAGTATGGAGTTGTGATATTATAATATCATTCATCAGGGTCAACAACAGATTATTTAGGACATCGACATCCATTATACAATCCCTAAACCTGCAACATTGTTTGATTAATGCACCTGGGTATATTCTGGTAAAACTGAACGAATATTGATTTTATGAAAAAGGTTTGTTGAGTTTGAACACCTGTCTGGCAGAGCCTGTTTGGTTTTAAGGCATGAACTGCAGTAACAACCAAGCTCAATCCCAGCGGATATCACTGGTGTTCTGGTAATGGGTGCTATGGAGGTCAGCTCAATAGTGTCAGCAGCAGTCCTCCTTAGAGCATATGGTGAGATAGAAGTGGCAGACAGACACACACCAGTGTGCAAACACACACACCCAGCACACATCCGTCATAGTCTATATCAGGGGTGTCCAAACTTGGTCCTGGAGGGCCGGTGTCCTGCAGAGTTTAGCTCCAACTTGCCTCAACACACCTGCCGGAAAGTTTCTAGTATGCCTAGTAAGAGCTTGATTAGCTGGTTCAGGTGTGTCTAATTGGGGTTGGAGCTAAACTCTGCAGGACACCGGCCCTCCAGGACCGAGCTTGGGCACCCCTGGTCTAGATGGTCTAAGATTGCTATCATGCTCTTTCCAAGTGCATGTTAATGATAGTGAGTACTGTTGTTTTCCTGTTTTGACGTAGTTTTCCCTCATGTCTGATTAGTTCATTCTGTTCACCTGTGTCTAGTTTATTATCTTAATTTGCATGTTTATTTAAGTTCCTGTCTGTTCAGTTAGTGTTTGTCAAATCTCGTCTATGTTTTCACGTGTGCTAAACCTTCCTCTTGTGGATTTACCTTCTGTGTGGAATATTAAAGATAATTTTACCTTCATCTTCGTGAGTGTTTTGAGTGCACCTGAGTGTGACAATATCATTTGATATCAATATTTATAATCTGATCATATTATAATGCATACTATTAATGTGGAAGGAAATTGCATTCCATTTGTTTGCTAGTCTTCAAGAATGAAGTTTACAAGTAAACTCTACAGTAAGCTATTTTTAGGGCCCAAATTCTGTTTAATTTTTTCTAGATTCTGTTTTATAACAATACAAATTTATCTTCAAAGATTTTCTAAGATGTTAAGTTGATATGTAAATGAGGCATTATCTAATTAAATTCTTTGCATACATTCCCAGAACAAAATCTGAACCCTGGATAAAGCCAGGTTCAAAATTCTTGTTTCATTTTGTTTACATATTAGAGTTTAAGGTTTTTGCAAAGGGAATTTTGGGGATCTGTTTTTATCACCCTATAAATCAGGCTAATAATACAAAGCCCTCTGTAATAAAACTGTA